GGCATCATCCCTCTGCAGTTCTGGGCATTCTGCCAGGACCATCTCCTCCATCCTGATGGACTCAGCCTCCTGGATGGCAGGTACCTCCTAGGAACCCCTCCATCTGGGCCCAGCAACACTATCACCCTGAGGCTCCCAGCTCAGAAGCTGGGCTCTGGGCCTCCTGCCAGAGTCTGAAAGTGCCGAGCTACGCCCCGCCTACACCTCCTGTTAGTGAGGGTTGCAGGGAGTGGGCAGGCCAGGCCCTGGGCATGTTGGGGCCTGGGTGCCTCCGCCCACTGGCTGTCAGGAATGCACTGCCTGGGGGTACTGGGAAGGGGGTGAAATCCCTGCTCGCGCCTCACATCTCAGCTTAGCCCTCACCCTGGGGAAGTGTTCTTGGGAAAAGGGGTGCAGCCTTGTTAAGCAGAGCAGTTCTAGGCAGGAGGGCTGGCAGGGGGCCAGTGTGGCGGCCGGGCTGGTTAGTCACCCTCTGTCTGGCCTGGAAAGGGTGCCTGCTGAGTCTGTTGCCTGACTACCCCTGGCCATCACCCCTGGCATGCCTGATAGGTGAGAGAGGGAAGCCACAGCCTGTGGGAAAGAAATATCTCAGCCTGGGAGCCTAAGGGCCTGGTTCTAGGGTTTGTTCTGCCTCGAGGTGAAATTTCATTTCCCTTTCTGAGCCCTGAGTGCCTCATCTGTAAAATGGGGACAGCAGCTGTCCCGCCATGTCTAGGGTTGTTTGGGAGCAATGGGTTCTTTCTTTCTGACAACGAAGCCATGGCCAACGTGAGCACTGTCGTCTGATTCTTGTGGCACCGGGACTGGCCCTAGCACACCCCCACACCTCCTCCCAGGCACCCAGCAATTTCAGTCCCACCAGATTAGGGAATCTGGAGGAGAGGGCAACTAACAGACTAGTCCAATTTTTTAGAGGGAGCAGAGGACAGGACATAGTAGCACTTCCAAGGCCTAAGGAAACCAGGTTATCACTAAGGTGGGGGTGGGGCCCTGGCAGAGAGTCAGTCTAGGGTGAGAGCTCAGATCTGGCTGGAGGTGGAGGCTGCAGGTTAGCTACAATGACCTTGAAGGGGTGGGTCCAGGCCTCCCTCAGTGGGCAAGGGGTCCCTGGGGAGCCCAGAGGTTGCCTCTGATTCTGCCCTGCCCAAGATGTCTGAGGGAGTCAGTCGACGGACCCCTCCTCTAAGTTTCCTGGGGAACCAAGCAGGCGGAGCTGGGTATGAATGACAGTTGGATTGAAATAAATTTCCTTATCATCTATACCCTCCCAGCCCTCACCCAGCAGCAATCTTGTGCCTACTGACTGGGGTGGGGCAGGACCAGTGCCCTAATCCCAGGCCCCTCCCTCCCCAGAGATTCCATTGGGAGCCCCCACCCTCACCCCCCTGGAGTATTTTTAGTTCTAACTTGTACTGCTCAGAGGCCCTTTAAGGCCCTCTGGCTGCCAGCCCAGGATCCAATGGGTCTACAGCCAGAGGACTGAGAGTGGATGGGGGAAGGTGGGTAAGCAGAGGGTCTGGTCCAGCTGCCTTCAGCCACAGCCAGGTATGGGAGAATCCAGGGGGTGGGAGAGACCTTACTGATATGCAAAGACAATGCAAATTAACATGCAAATGAGCACTCTGCAGCCTGCTGTTGGGTCTGGTCCAGATCAGAGTCTAAAAACTGACCCCTTCTAGACCACTACTGAGCCCACCCTACCAGCAGCAATGAGAAGGGAGGGGGTTAGGTGTGAGGCTTTGCCTAGCTCTTGGAGCAAGAAAGAAAGGAGATCAGATCAAACCTCTCCTGGAGTCTGGCTGGGCTGGGGTAGGTGGGCAGGGAGCCCCTGTGGAAGGTAGGAGGGTGGGGGAAATGACCTCTTAAGGGCTTTCAAACAGCTGCCTCTATATCCTCTCCTTTGGCTCCAACCAGACGGCCCCTCCTGGCCTCTGGGGAGCCCCCTGAGCTCCGAGTTCTAGAAAAGCACTTCCTCACTCCTGCCCCATCACTTTTCTCCAGGCAGTTCAAAGCTAATGGCACAGTCAAATAGAAAGCAGTAGAATCTGAAGAGGCCAGGGAATGGGACCCAGGGATATCAGGGTTCCAGGCTGGCTTACCCCAAAGTAAGGAAGTTTCCCCTGGGGGCACGAGGGTGGGGTGATGCTCAGAGAAACAGTCTATAAAAGTCAACTTCCCAGACTCCTCACCTCAGGGGGGTGTTGGGGTTGCTCCAGTGGGAAGATTTCAGTTGACATGGAGTGAGCCAGAGGGTCTAGCACACAGGCCAGCTGGCCCACATGTCATTCCTCAGGGCCCCCTTCCACCTCAGGCAGGTTGGATGGGGGGATGCTCCAGCTCTGAGCCAGGGCTGGGGTGGGGTCAGCTCTCAGATGCCTAGATCTCAGTTCTGTGCCAGCTCCGCTGCCCGAATTAGCCAACTCCCCAGAGGCGGTTCCTATGGTAGCTGAAACTGCAGCCCTCTCTGTCCTCCCCCTACTTCCCCTGCTGCCCATCCAGCCCCCTCTCTCCTCTGGTGATTCAGCCCTAGAACCAGAGCAACAAGCTGGAAGAAGCAATAGAATGAGAGGGGACGGGGAAAAGAAGCCTCGGCCTAAGACTTTGATAAAAAAGAACAAGGCAGTTTTTCTCACTTCTTCCCCTCTCCCTTGCTCCTTAGTGTTTTCTTCATATTTGATCCGTTAGGGCATTCTTCATGTCATCTAATCTCGATTTCTCCTGCTGCGACGGACATCCTCTTCCTCCTTTGTTTAGCTCTGACCAAGCCCCTTTCACTTATTTTTCTGAAAGATCAGGCTTCCCCTGACTCCCACCTAATTTAAAGCTCCTTGGCCTGAACTCATCATTGGAGAGAGGAAAAGGACACGACGCACGCAGGCCTTCTGCCTGCAGCCGCAGCTGCTATTCCCATTTCCTCTGGAACGAGCCTCGGAGGCTGCCAGGTGGCTGCTCTGCCCAGGGAAACATGTTTTAGGAGAGCACAGCAGGTAATCCTAGTTCCTGCCTCCCTCAGGTATGACCTCATCTTCCAGGAGCTGCAGCCACCCCAGCCCCAGGCTTCCCAGAAACCTTCACTGCCAGGCAAAGACAAAAGGGAAAGGAGGGCCCCAGAGGTATCTCCCCCATAGCCCACAAGGTCAGGCCAGACAAGGACACGTGGATTCCCAGGAAGGAATAAAGAGCAGGTGCTGGGGGCAGGGGGTCAGTGAATAGTCCTAGGAATAGTCCTAAGAATAGTCCCTCGGCTTCCCCACTGGTCCTCTGCCCTGCTCCTCACTTCTCCCACCCAGAGACTGAGAAACTGGGGCCTGGGTTGGGGTAAGCCTCTGATGTTATAGGCAGGGAACCCCAGTCCAGAGATGGAGGTGATAGGGAGAAAAGAGGGTACACACCTGGGTTTTTAACCATTTCTGGAATAAGGCCTTCTTTGAGAATCTGATGAAAGCTATACTCTCCCCTCCTCCTGTCCCCAGAACACTGTGTAAACACACATGATTTTATATATACTTTCAAGGGTCCCTGCACCTCCAGAAAACCTATGAACCCCAGGCAGAGCTTTTCAGGACCATGAACCCTCCCCTTTTTCCAAAGGGACTTTGAAGACTGCAACTTGAGTTGCTTGTTCCTCTGAGCTGTGTACTTGGGCAGCTGTTCACATCTGGCTACACAGCTGGCTGCAGCTAAGCCCAGCTGGGCCAGTTGGCTCTCCCAAAGGGACAAGGAGCAGAATTCAGTGAGATGGTGGGGGTGAGGAGATGAGCCAAGATCTAGAACTAACCCTGGGAAGGACTGAAGATACCCAAGAGAATTACTCCGAACTCTATCTAGAACAACTTAGCCTTTCTAAGGTTCATTAGTTTTAGAACTTTCTGGGCTCTTGGCAGGCCTAATGCCATCTCAACCTGCTCAGGAAGAAAAGTAGAGCCCTCTGCTCAGCCATCTTGGTTGAAGGCCATGGGAAGGTGAGGGTGCATCCAGGTTCTGGCTTTAGCACAAGAGCCGTCAGCTCTGTGTTGGCATATGCAGACTATTTTACACACATTAACTTATTAAAGCCCCACTATCACCCCATGAAGAAGGCGTGTTGTTCTTCCCCTGACAGGTGAGGAAATTAAGGCTCAGATATTAGTGATGGATTCAAGATAGGAAGTTGGCAACGGAAACTTGGAGCTTCTTCTCTCTCCACAATGCCAAGTTGCCTCTTATAGGGCAACGGAGAAGGAGAATATAGATTCAGGTCCAGCCCCTCTTTAGGGAAAACTGGCCCAGAGAAGGGAAATTTCTTGCTCAAGGTCACATAGCAAAGGTGGTGGTGGTGGTGCAGGATCCTTTATTGACTCCAGCTTTCCATTATTTCCTCTTGCTTTTTAAATCTTCTCTACATTATGTTGCCTTATATCATGCAGCTTCCGCATGGGAAAATCTGAAAATCTTTTTTTGGGTGGGGGCAGAAAGAGCATCAATATAGAAACTTGTGCTGATGGTCACTTAGGGTCTCCAAAAGATGGAGGGTTGGCCAAGGCCAGACCACAGCTGCTGGAGCCAAACTGGGAAGGGTGTGGTGGCCCTAGCCTCTGCAGAAGGTAGATAGAATTGAGGCCAAGTTCAGGTAGGTAGACTGGACAGGGGCTGGGCCAGCAGGGCTAGAGCCAAGGCCGGGGCAGAGTTTGGACTTTGGACATTCCAAGCTTCCTCAAGTTTCTGCAGGCCCCAGCCAGAGCTTGGAGAGGTTTCAACACACCCTTTTTCTGACAAGGTCCTCTTGCTCAACCGGGTCAGACACCAGGTAGGAGCAGAGGTCTGGCTGGTCATCCAGCCTAAAGTGACGGGGCCTGCCTGACCTGTCTTAACCTCCTTCCCTCCTGGGGCAGCCTCACCTTCCCTAGGTGTCCTCTTTCCCAAATGCTGACCTCAGAATACTGAGTCCATGGCAGAGAAACATCTGAAACCTGGACATGCCCCTCTGGACATGGGTGTGTATGGTGGGGGTGGGGTAGGCAGGAGCAGCTGGATGCAATCTCCTTCCCCTCTCTTCCCTATGCCTAGCTCTTCCCCTCCTTCTCCTTGCAGCTGTCGGGGAAGGAGAACAGAAGAAAGAGAAAAACACCATTTCCCTCTTCAAACCAAACAAACACACTCAGGGTTGAAGATTCAACATGAATTTGTGGAATGCAGGAAAGATGTCTGGTGAGAGGGTGTCACTGCTGGGTTGGTGCAGGAGGTGCGGGGGAAGGAGACTAAGCAGGAATTGGGAAAGACCTTCCTCTCTCTTCTACTCCCCCACCCTCAAGGGGTCAGAGAGAGCTCCTGGACAGCTCCAAACACCGAGACTCGCCCCACCACCATCGCCTCACCCCAACTGCCAAGCGGGTTGAGAAGCCCTCCAGTCTGGCTCTGCAGAGGGTGTGGCTGGCAGCGTGGCCGCAGACTAAATGCGAGGTATAAAGGGAGCAGGCTTAAATACATGTGCCCTTAGGTTCTTCCTAGAAAACAGGGAAGGGGGATCCACTAGGTGTTTATACTGCAGTTTCCCCAAGCTCCCAGCCCTGGAGAGAAGAGGCATGCGGTACTCTAGGTACTTATTTCTCAGAATGGAAGGAGGCTCAGGAACGAGAACCCCACTTCTGCTACCCAGAGAGGTTTAAAGGGGACGAGCGGCTGCGTCTAGACAGCCTCTGGCTGGGTCAACACTTGCCAATGATTACTGCCCCCCATCCCACGCCCAATCCCTCCACTTCCCGCCAAGACTCAGCAGGCGAAGGAGCTAGCGGCAATCAGGCCCGGAAGCCCGCGCGGGCCGGGACTCGGACTCAGCTTCGGATCCGCACTCTGCACACACACACTCTCTCTCCCAACCCGCCCCCGCCAGCCTCACTTACAGGTAGCGCCGCCGCCGCTCCGTCTGCCGATGGAGGGCGACCGAGTAGCCGAAGAGGCTGCCCGGGTTCCTGGCCTCCTTCACCACCAGGAATTGGGTGTCCAGGTTGAAAGCAGAGGCAATGCGGCCGCCAGCGGCCACCATCAAGGCCAGCGCGCAAAGCATCTGGCGTGGGACGCGGGTGGCGAGGCGGAGACCCGGGCCCATGGCTGCAAGCGGGAGCGGAGGCCGGGGCGAGAGCGCGTGAGGGCGTGGAGCTGTGAGCGAGGACCTGTTCACCTGCTCCCCGCGCCCCTGGAAACGCGCGGGCGGGCAGCGCCGTGGAGCCCTGCAGCGCTGAGCAGTTCCCGGCCCCCGGACCGCGCCGGTTTCACGTCCGCTCAAGGTCTGCACTCTCAGGTTCCCCTCGGAGGTCCGCGAATCTATTCTTCCGCTTGCCCTGCGTCGGGTCACCGCCCACCCGCCCCGGGCACCGTGCCCCTAGCTTGTCCCGGCCGAGCCCCCCGGGCCGCACAGATGCCTTGGATCCTCGCTGGGCGGCGGATCTGGGCAGGCAGACCCGTCCACCGCAAGGAGGACCGAAGGGAGGGGTACCCCCCCGCGCGCGCCCCGCCTCCCAAAGCCCAGCTCCGCACCTCCCCACCTTGCGCGCCCAGCCGCGGCTTCGCTCTCCTTCCGGGGAAAGAGAAAAGGTCCCGGTTCGGCCACCGCCTCTTAAAGGGGCAGCACCGCCCCTCCCTCATCCTCTCTAATACGGCTCCGCCCTCTCCCCCAAACACCTGTCGGGAGCCCCCAAAGGCTTGGATTTCCCCTCCCCACCCTTTGCTTCCCGAGCAGCGTCGCCTCCCAAGCAAGACGGATTGGACGCATGGGGCCCGGGGTGGGATTTGTCCGGCGGGTTTGCTGCGGCTGCTACTGATGCTGGAAAGGTCGTTCCAGGCGTGGCCACCGCCGCCGGCCGAACTGGAGAGACCCGGCGTTGGCACATCTGGGAACCGACCACCGCGCGCCTCTGGCTTAAAAGCCCAACTCGCCCCCACCATGAGTTCCTGAGAGGCGGCTGGCGGTCTCTGGGCCTTTTTCCTCGGAATCGGCCCCTTCATTGTCCTCGTCGAGATTTTTTATTCCTGCCCACCCGCCCCACTGCCCCTGATCCCAGCTGAGAATGGTCCCTCAGCAAAGCCAAATATTTAGCAGTAGTAAATAACCAAGCAGCCATAATTATAATTAACAACAAGACAACATTTTCCCCAAAAGGCTGTGCCTTCTGATCTCCCTTGTAAGGCCGTCGATGTGGAAATGAGTCCCTTCTCTTAAGAGTGTCCTGCGTGGCCAGGGAACTGGGCCCAGACTACACAATTTCTCGTCTACTGCTCCTAAGAGCCAGCCTCGCAGAATCCTAAAGTTCTCCTCCTCCCACTCAGGCTCAGACCTAGTGTTTGGAGACTGGGCAGGGACGCCAGCCCCCACAGGTGTGTAAGTGGGTGTTGCCAGTTGGAGGTAGGTGGGCGGAGCCTGAAGGTCGGGTTATTCGCAGAAGAATCAACAGAAAGGGAACTTCAAAAGGTCACTACGAAAATAAATAAATAAATTTATTTATTTTTTTAAAAAGTCACTATGCACTTTCTTGAGTCTAACTCAGATTTCTCTTATTGCGATACAGAGACCCATTTCCCCTGACAATTCTTTTCACTAGGCTAAAAGAAGGTTCTTATTTTGGTCCAGGAGTTCAGCCCTCAGCACGCACTCCTTTGAAGTTCACTTTGGAGCCTCTATGTCTAAGAGTTTATAATAAGAATACTACCATGTAGTAAGTGCTTATGCAGCGGGAACGACCCTAAGTGCTTTATAAATATTATTAAATTACATTCTCACAACAATCTTTGGGTGTCATCTCTGTTTTAAGATGAGACAACCGAAGCTCAGGGAGGTTAAGAGACTTGATCAAGGCCACACAGCTTGGATTTTAATCCTGTGTTGTCTGACCTGAGAGCCCTTCTTAACCACTTTAATAACATTCATGCAATACCGAGGGCAGATCTAGGTTTGGTGGGGCCTGAAGCTTGTACAATTTGGAGCCCTCTTTAAGGAAAAGAATAAAGAATTAGGAGTACAAAATTAGAATCAGAGCCGGAGAAGGACTCAGGCCAAACTTTACAGCTGATGAATCATTTCACATGCAGACTCTCATTTCATCTTCCCGGCCTCCCTATGAAGTCAGGATTATCAACCTCATCTGACTTACCAGGCAACCTGGATGTCCAAGATCACGCAGCTCATGGGAGGTAGAGTTAGGACTGGAAGCCAGTGACCACAGCTGTGTCTTTAAGAGACAGACTCCAGGCAGATGTTGGTCAGGCAGCCAGATGTGCCTAAACAGAAACAGCTGCGATAACAGCGTTCTCTGTGGTGTTTGGGGAGAGGACACTCATCCCTGTCTAACCCTTAGGATAGCATTTGTTCCCAAGCTGTGACTCCCAGAGCCACCCAGCCTCTCTCCGTGGTCTGTCCACAGCTGTGGCCCAGAGCCTCCAGGGGTTAGGAGATATCTGGGGTCAAGGAACAGGAAGCTAACTGGGCTGAAAGTTGAACTGTTATCTTGATCTTTTTCTGGCTTGCTGCTGTCTCCTCCACCTTGTTCCAAGACATAGGGAGGCAGACAGAGCCAAGAGCTCAGGGGCCAAGGTGGACACTCAGTGTGGGCAGGGGTCCCTCCTGAAATAGCTTTAAGAATCCCGTGATGACACAGAAGGGCTCCATGCCAGGCGTTATCTCTTTGGCCATCCCCAACAGGAATTACCAGCATGTCCGATCCTGGGGCTGAGAGCAGGAAAGGGATGAGGGATGGTTTTTCCATTCCAGGGGAGTGTCCAGAGGGAATGTGGGAGCAGGAGCAGGAGCAGGGATGCCTGGTAGAGGGAGGGCCTGAGCTAAGGAATGTGGGGGAGTGTCAGACAGATCTGGGGGAGATGGAACGGTAGAGGGAGTGCTGGAGACTGGAAGGGCCTCTGGGCTGGAGAGATGCAGAAAGAGAAATTCCAAGTTCATGCCAAATGTCCGAAATGTTCTAGTTTCAGTGACATCATCCACAGCCCCATCTCATCTCTCAGTCGACTTCATCATATCAATTCTTCCCCATGGAGAAGTGACCCATTTAGAAATGTAGACACACGGAGAGAAACAAGGGCATGTGAATAACATTTGTAATGAGGAGTCTGAGTCACGTTTTTGGAGTTTGACTGCTGGCAGCTTCTAAGCCATCACCTCTACCCCTTCCTCTTGTGCCCCTCACCTGGACAAGCTGAGGAGAAAGCATGGGTGTTGTGCTCCCTCCTTTGGCGTCCATGGGAGATTTGAACCATGCAAACTCTTCCTGCACAAATGCTTACCCTGACCTTACTCCCTAACCCAGTAAAAATCCTGGGCCAATCTCCTTTCCTGGTTCTCAAGCTATTTCGGACCTGGTTAAGAGGCCTGCCCTCCTCCCCCAGAGACCTCAATTATGTAAATAATAAAACTTTTCATTCCTTTTTGACATGTGTGTGGCGTCATCAGTTTTGACGTTGAACCAAAACTTGGATAGAGTCCATCTGCCTCTGTGGTGATTATGATAATATGCAACCGTGGGTTTTGCTGCAGGGTCAGGGAGGCTTCCTGGAGGAGGAGTATCTGGACAAGGGAGAAGAAAAGGACTAGCAAGAGGGAGACTCAGGAGAGAAGAAAGCAGAAGAGTCGGAGCCTGGTTTGGGGTGAAGTTTTCCCAGTTGCAACAATGACTAAGTCAAAGTTCTATAAAGGCAACTTCTATTTATTCAGTGCTTGATATGTATGCACCAGCCTTCCTCTGCCTGCCTCCCCGACTCGACCCATCTTGCACTCCAAGAGCCAAGACCACACCACTTGCTCCGTCATTTCTCACAGGAAAGCCAGCGTGTGGACATGATGCACACAGGCAGTTAGTGGAGAGATAGCGATGGAGTGGAATCGAGGTGCCATGGGGGTTGAATGCAGGCTACCTTCTGTTCTCTTACCTTGGGCAAGTTCCTTTCCTCCTCCAGTCAAGTTACTTTTTTCTTCCAGGTCTTGATTTCCCCATCTGTGAAAGGAAAGGGCTGGAGAATATTCCTCATTATTCCTCTACGGGTATTCTTTGTGTTCCAAAGCTCCTAATATTTGTTGAACTAAGTGGACTAAATCTCTGCTATTGAACTAAGACTCAGGCCTCTATCTCTGACTTGAATTGAAAATGCAAGTAACTGAGGAGGGTGGGAGGAGCTATGAAACTTGAATGGGTTTATCAGATTTCCTTTCTCCAGTGACCTAGATACAGGGACAGGGGTGGGTGGGGCAAGTGGCCAGTCCCAGCAACTTCCCTGGCTCAGAATCTGTCAGCCTCAAACATTCATTGACAACCTGCTATGTTTCAGCACAGAGCTGAGAACCCCCAGGGGTGTCAAAGATGAACCAGAGCATCTTCCAGAGTCCGTGGATTCTTCCTGGCCTCACATGCTGAAAGCTCTCAAATTTAAACAGGCTAAACCCATGTTACATTGTATTTTAGGGCTGGTGTTTGTGGGGCAATGGGGGGTGTTAGAAAGAACAATTTGGCTACAGCATGAAGTTGGCATCGCCAAGAGAGACTGAGACAGCAGGACGGGGCTGCTGTAATAATTTGGGCAAGGGGTGAGGGGCAGAGGGAGTGAGAAGGCCCCAGGGTATCAATATGACTTGACTTCAGATGCAGGTGTGGTGGAACATACTTGAGGTGGGAGAGTGAAAGAGTAGGGGGGTTCTGAGAATAAATAGGCAGTGACGCCCACAGGATCCTGGTGAGCAGACCCCAAACATCAGAAAACTCCCCTGCCAGCTAACGCCCTCCCACACACCCCATCTTTCTAGTTCCTCCAGCCCTCTTCATGGTTCTGTCACTATCATCCATGGCCTGGCCTTGCTGCACTCGCTTGCCCTCTGGGCTGGGGGATTAGGACTCTGATGGGCCCTCCAGCATTCTTTAATGCCAAGGTGGTCCCTTCAAGGTTGGGAGGCTATGGGAGCCCATGTGGTAGCCCCAGCTGAGCTGAGTCACTAGCCCTCAGAGACATTGCCATTTCCGGGGAAGATACCTTCTTACTGGCAGAGTTCTGTGCTCAGCTGGGAAATCTGGGCAGGTGGGGGCTTCAGCTACTTCCCCTCACTCCTACTAACTCCCTAGAGACTCTGCTGAGGGTGGAGGACCACATGCAGTTGTTAGTGGAACACTCCTACGTGTATGTAGATTGGAACATGTGTCTGTGCACGTGGTCTCTTATGCATTTATATGAGTTTGCCTATGTGATTTCATGTCTCTGAATGTTTTATGTAAATTTAAATGTGGAAAGGGAGCGAATATTTATTGAGTGCCTACTGTGTACCCAGCCTACCGTGTACTTTACAGCTGAAAATACTGAGGTGCCCAAGGTGCAAAGCGTGAGGCCCTCCACCAGGTGCTCCTTACCCACCCACCCCAATCATTACCTTCTACTCTTCCAGGACACCACAGCTTAGAAGTCACAACATCTGAGTAGAGTCACCTGTCTCTCTCCCTGGAGGAGGGATCCTGCCCTTGGGTTATCATGGCCCTTTCCAGGTCCTCAACCTGGCTTCAGCCTCTTTCATCTCACTGAAAACTTCTCTCTGGCACCAGCTTCCTCTGATGGGCAAACCCAATAGTTGTCTTTGAATCTTTGCCCCTGGCCTCTCTAGGGTGGCACCAGTGACCCGTTGACTGCCTTTTGTATTTAAAT